CTAAGGGATGGGGGCAGGTGTGGTCCTATTGTCACTCGGCTAGGCTTGTGTTCCTGGCACCAAGGTCCCTGCTATGGCTCAGGGCTAGGAAGAGCCATTTAGCAGGGCACAGCAGGGGCCTTGCCAGCCCTTGTGATTCAGCAGCTTTCTCCTGGAGGTTACTTGTGCCTGGGCTGCCTGATGGCCTGGAGTGGTGTGTTAGCCGGGCGTGGTGGTGCCCGTACACACCCCATCATAGTACAGAGCATTGGAGAAGCGCTGTTGGGGTCCCAGTATGTCGCAGGGTTCAGCGATTGTTATGGGCTGAATTATACTGCCTTAAAATTCATACATGGCAGTCCCAGCCGCCAGGACCTCGGAATGTGACCTTATTTGGTTAGAGGGTCATTGCAGTTACAATCATCTCAGCTAGGAAGAAGCCATCCCGGAGTAGGGTGGGCCCTAATCCAATGTGACCGGGAGCCTCTCCAGAGGACACAGAGACACACGGGGTAGGGTGGGCCCTAATCCAATATGACCGGGAGCCTATCCAGAGGACACAGACACACGGGGGATAGAAGAAAGCAGATGGAAAGAGACCCAGGGAGAAGACAGCTGTCGCAAGCCAAGGAAAGCCCTGGAACAGACCCTCCCTCACAGCCTCAGAAGGCACCAACCCCAGAGACACCTTGTAGCTGGACTTGAGTCTCCAGAACTGTGAGAGAATCAATGTCTGTTGTTCAAGTCACCCAGTTTGCAGCACTTTGCAGCAGCCTTAGCAGACTAATCCAACGACACCGCTCACTCAGGTGCACGTGTGGTCCTCTTCCCCCAGGATACTGGTTCAGGAGGAGCCCTTGTAGGCTCAGTTAACTTCCAGGATGCTGTTCTCAGAATCTCTCCTTCTTATGGACAGCCAAAATGCTGTCAGTGGGTCCAGCTCATCCTGCCTGGCTCCTTTCCCCTTAAAGGAAATTCTCTTCCTGTAGGCTCTTTGGCCTCCTCTCCACCCACAGGTAGCTATGGAAGTCCACCCATTTGCCCTGTCAGTGGAGGTTAGGCTCATCCCCAGCAGAGGAAACAGCGTGAGCCTTATCCCTGGGTGGCCCTTAGCCCCCGTGCAGAGACAGCCCCGCCCCTCCGGAGTCTGCTCCCTCATCCCAGGTCCTGGAAAACAGGCCCCTGAGGGGACAGCTCACACTGACAGCCCTGCCGTAGCACAAAGGGCAAGCATAGTCAGAATGGAAGCGTGCTCAGGGTGCAGCAGGGCACCGAGGAGGATGTGATGGCAAAGCCTCATGGAGAAGGTGGCAGACGAGCAGAAAGGGATTTGCAAGGTGTTTCGGAGGAGGCAAGAGCTGAGGCAGAATGTGCAGGAAAACAGCCCTTGTGGGTTTAAGAGCAGCTCAAGGAGCAGTGAGAGGCATTACAGAGGCTTTAAAGGGGGTTGGGGAAGACTGGATGGGGCCAGGAAGACAGCAGGGCCAGATGGGGAAGGGCCACAGGGGTCATGATAAGCAGAGTAGACTCTGCTTTCTCTGGAAACGGAGACCACTAGAGGGCTTGAAGAGGATGCCACATGACCGGAGAGGACTTCAGAAGGAGCGGCCTTGCAGAAACAGCAGTTATCTGAAAGTGTGCAGTATTGGCTTATGCTGCCAACCTCTTCCCTTTGCTTGGAATGTGTTTCTCCTCCTCAAACAACCGCATGAGCACACAGGCCACACGCACGCATGCTCTCTCTCTCTCTCCTCACTTTCAGCCTGACAAACACTTTCTATTGTGAGGGCAAGAGTCACACCCTGGGAAAACCTCTTTGAAGTCCAGATTGAGCAGGGAAGTAGCTTCGTCTCTGAGTTTTAGCCTTCCCTCCTGTCAAATGGCACAATTGTCCCTGCTGTCTTGCCTACAGCATGTTGTAAGGATAAAATCAGGTTAGAATATTGGATAACACCTTCTAAACTGCATTCAATATAAGGAGGGTCAGTGACCATGGTGATGATGATAGTGGTGAAGACGATGGTGAGTTGATGATAATGGTGGTGGTAATGGTGATGATGGTGATGATGGTGAATGGTGATGATGGTGATGGCAGTGATGGTGATAGTGATGGTAGTGGTGGTGATGGTGGTGATGGCGATGATAATGTTGATGGTGCTGATGGTGATGGTGATGACGATGGTGTTTATGTGATGATGATGATGGCAGTGATGGTGGTGGTGATGGTGATAGTGATGGTGATGATGGTGATAGTGATGGTGATAGTGATGGTGATGATGGTGATAGTGATGATGATGATGGTGGTGGTAATGATGGTGATGGTGATAGTGATAGTGATGACAATGGTGATGATGGTGATGGTGAGGATAATGGTGATGGTGATGATGAATGGTGTTTATGGTGATGATGATGGTGACGGTGATGGTGGTGGTGATGGTGATGATGGTGATAGTGATGATGATGGTGATGGTGGTGGTAATGATGGTGATGATGGTGATAGTAATGACAATGGTGATGATGAGGATAATGGTGATGGTGACGATGAATGGCTTTATGGTGATGATGATGATGGCGGTGGTGGTGGTGGTGATGGTGATAGTGATGGTGATGATGGTGATGGTGATAGTGACGACAATGGTGATGATGGTGATGGTGAGGATAATGGTGATGGTGATGATGAATGGGTTTATGGTGATGATGATGATGATGATGATGATGGTGGTGATGGTGGTGGTGATGGTGATAGTGATGGTGATGATGGTGATGGTGATAGTGATGACAATGGTGATGATGGTGATGGTGAGGATAATGGTGATGGTGATGATGAATGGGTTTATGGTGATGATGATGATGATGGTGATGGTGACGATAGTGATAGTGATGATGATAGTGATGACGGTGATAGTGATGATGGTGATGGTGGTCATGGTGGTGGTGATGATAATGGTGATGGTGGTGGTCGTGGTGACAGTGATCATTGTGATAGTGGTGATGGCGATGGTGACAGTGGTGAGGTGATAATGCAGAAGACTGTCTTTTTCTTCCTGCAAGGTGGTTTAGAAACCCTATGGTTTCTATCTTGCTTCATCTCTTGGAGGAGCCACTTAATTTGTCATCCAAAGTGAGTCAGTTTGTGAGTGCTATTAACATTTACACCAGGACAATGATGCATGAACAGCCTTCAATTGCATTTTACACTTCACCACTACTGCAACAAACTGGTTGAAGTAGACCTTCAAAAAGTCTAGAGACAGCAGGTACAGTTCGGCTGAGTGCTCAAAATTTTGGCCTGGTTTTAAATTTGGGTTTAAATTACTGAGAAAAGGACTTGGCCAGGGATGTGGGAAGTCAGTGTACCCTACCTTCCAGGCTATTAGAACTTTTGGCTGAACAATGATCATTTGCTGTCCTTGATACTACAGCCAAGAGGAGACTGGTTGGCAAGTGTGGACAGGGAAGCTCTATTTCCCGGATAGTCATGCCCATCAGAGCACAGTGACCCACTGCTCACAAACCCTCTGTCTGTCTTTCACTTGGAGCTTGTGCCTCACACTTGGAGGAACAGTGGGGACTTCTGGGGCACCTCCAACCTGCTGGGCCCTTGAACAGCTGAAGGAGGTCCTCTACTCAGTGGAATTGAGGCAGTGAGCAGGACAGGCCTTCTGCCTTGGTGGGTGAGGCCGAATTAAGCTACTTCTTGCAGCCCCATGCAACCAAGTCATGATATGCTCCCCAGTGACATACTCAGTGTAGCCAGCGGAAATGGAAACTCTGTGCTTATTCTTGTGAATTAAAAAGTGATGAGCAGTCTCCTGTCTTAGTCATATCCCTTTACCTCTGTCCTAGAAATCTGAGACTTGTGACAAGGAAAATGCTGTCACTCAGTCTGCAAAGGTAGCCTAAGACAAATTCTAAGGACCATAAGTTCTGACTCAGCAACTTTGTTTTCCCAAGGGCATTGAATCTTTTAAAGGTTATCCCGTATAGACTGAATATTTTTGGTTTATTGGAACAAAAGTGAACTTCTGGAATATTCCATACAATCTGTTTTCTAAAACAGGTTCAATCCAAGGAGGAGAATTAAAAACAAATGTCTGATGGCCCGAGGTGAGCCATTAGTTAGGACAAACAAACATCTTGCAAAAATGACAGATGGGAACAGGAGGAGTGTTTCTCTTCCATCCGAGCTGACTCTCCCTGAATGTAGCAGGATAGTCAAAGAAATTGATAGGAATCCTATCTTAAGACAAGCCTGTTGGGCTCTGTGTCAGAAATCCCACCAATCACTTCCCAAGCTCCCCACCCCATCGCAGAAGCCTGGGCCACAGCATTTACAGTTCAGAATGTTATTAAAATCAAACCAAGCAATTCCTGCCAACCCCCAGGAGGAAAGCTGCAGAGAACGAATAATTCTGCAAAGATCCTGGGCATCTGTGTGCATTAACCATAAAGGCCATTAAAGTTGGAGCAGCAAGGAAAGGGTGTACAAGACTTTGCCCCATAGAAAATGCTGGCTCTCTCCCCTTCGGCCTGTTTGGGAGGTGCCACGACATGGGTCCCCACCCATTGTCTCAGCCTGGGGGACTGCCTTCTCTCTCTTTTGATCACCAGAAGAGAACAAGCAAATTCCTTCTCAGCTATTTCACCAGGACTGCAGCTGTCATTGCCTCAGGCTATTATAACATCCCTAAGCACCCCAGGAGGCTGAGATGAGGCTTGCAGCCAGCGAACAGTGTCAGAGAAGAAGGAACCCTGTAGCCTGTGCCAATCTGACCCGGATGCAGGTGAAGCTAGGGTATTGATCTGCTTCTGGCCTCAGGTAGGAGCACCAATGACGTTCAGGGACCTCTTTTCTGCTCTGCCTCTCATTTTGCAACCCCCACCAATGATCAACATTCTAGGTTTTGCCATCTTGCAGGAGATGGCCCACGCTGATCTTTGGCATCAGGGTATCTTTATGACATCATGCCTGTTACCTAAGCAACCTGAACCTCAGTTTTCTCATCTGACAAATGGCAATGATCTTCTCCTGTTGCAAGAACAAACTCACTCAGGTTATAGCAAAAGAGGCAAGAAAACTCTTGGAAATAAGGGTGGCATGGCCTTGACACTGGGCCATTTTGCCAAGAGAACAAATCACGTTAGGCTCTGAGCAATGGTCCTAGGGTCCTCGGAGCCCACCGGCTGAACTACCAGCCAAGAGGTCTGGAGAATGTCTTCTCATGAGGGGACGTCTACTCATCCTGATCCTGTTGCTGTATCATCAACATGTAATCCCTCTGGGTGTGTGTGTGTGTGTGTGTGTGTGTGTCTGTCTGTCTGTCTGTCTGTCTTTCTCCATCTGCTCACAGTTTCAGCTTGCAATCCTGATAAAAACCACTCTAACTGGAGTGGACCATCACCACCGCTTCTGTTTGGCAGAGTTTTTTGTGTGAAGCTACATAATAGGGTGTCAGCCAGCCTATAGGTTATCTGTTCTTGGGCCACGTACCTGTCCCTGGTCTAATCAGACTGTAAGGGTTAGGGTCACAAACATAACAGAATGATTGCCTAGGCACAGGTGGTATTTCCTGCCACTCCCTCAGCAAGGAAGCAGGCATGTGGGCTGTGCTTCCCAAATACGTCCAGTCATGAGAATTACTGGGGCTCTATGACACAAATGACCAGGTTCCTGCCCTGGCTAGGATTCTGGCTAAGTCTGGGGTGGTCAGAAAAGTTTTAATGTCCAGCAAGTACCCTTCAGAGATTCTTAGTATCCCCCACACAGGGCTGGCTTCATAGATATGAGATCGGGGTCATTGCTCAGGGTCCCGACTCAGAAGAGCCCCTGCTTGCCGTTTAACACTCTGGGATCACTGTCTTAAACTTCTAGATCATTCTCTTTCTGAATTTGTGTTTTGTGAGTAAAGTCTGATGGGACAATGGAGTGCGGTTGCGGGTTCTGGGCCTGCTCACTTATGGTGTTACCATTTCCTTTCTCATGAGGGAAATTGGCCAGCCACTTTTTTTCCATTTTTTGTAGAGGCAGGGATCTCACTTTGTTGCCCAGGCTGGTCTCAAACTCCTGGGCTCAAGCAATCCTCCTGTCTCGGCCTCCCAAAGTGCTGGGATAACAGGCAGAAGCCATGCGCCCTGCCCTGACTACTTTAGATAGCACATGTAAGTGGACTCATACAGTGTGTGTCTTTCTGTGGCTGGCTCATTTCACTCAGCTTAGTGTCCTCAAGGTCCATCCATGTGGCAGCATGTGACAGGATTTTCCTCTTTCTTAGGTTGCAGAGTATTCCATTGTGTGTACTTACCACATCTTGCTCAGCCGTTCATCTGCTGATGGGTACTTGGGCTGCTGCTAAATTCTGACTATTATAAATAATGCTGCTGTGAACATAGGTATACAGATACCTCTTTAAGACCCTGCTTCCAATGCTTTCAGACATACACCCCGAAGTAGGATTGCGGCATTTGGTGGATCCATGCTGAATTCTTTTAGGAACATCCATATTATTTTCCATGGTGGTGGCACATTTTATAGTCCCACCAAGAGCACACAAAGATTCGAATTTCTCCACATCCTTGCCAACACTTGCTATTTTCAGGTTTTTGTTTTGTTTGTTTTATAATAGCCATCCTAGTGGGTGGGGTAGTGTCTCATTGCGGTTTTGATTTGCATTTCTCTGATGATGAGTGGCATTGAGCGTCTTTTCAGGTGCTTATTGGCCTTCTGTGTATCCTCTTTGGACAGCTACGGTTTTAAGTATAGAAACTTGGCATAAAAAAAGACGAACCCTCACCTTTCCAGGGCACACATCCTGCTAGGTGAAAACGAAACAAGACTAAAGCACCTCTAGGTGTCAGAAGATGATCAATATCCCACAGAACAACAGGGTTGGCAGGGACAATTTTATGCCCAAGACCAAGAAACGCTCCTCTAAGGAGCAGGTGTCCATGGGGAGGCCTAGAGGCAATGAGAGGGAGCTGTGTGGATTGAGAATTTGGAAGGAGGCGTTGAGGCAGAGGCCAGACCAACTGCTAAGGCCCTGAAGGAGGAGCTGATCTATGTGTCTGGGGACAGAAGATGCCAAGGACTGGGGAGGAGGTTGGAAGGCAGAGGGGTAGGGACCATCTCATGGGCTCGTAGGTTCAATGGAAGACTTTGGCTCTAACTGAGCTAGATGGGGATGTAGAAAGAGCTTATCACAATGCCTAGTGGAAAAAGGTGCTTCTCGAATATTAGTGGTGATGATGATGATGATGATGATGATGATGATTTGAGATGGAGTCTCGCTCTGTCACTGGGCTGGAGTGCAGTGGCGCGATCTCAGCTCACTGCAACCTCTGCCTCCTGGGTTCAAGCAATTCTCCTGCCTCAGCCTCCCGAGTAGCTGGGACTACAGGTGCGTGCCACCACACCCAGCTCATTTTTGTATTTTTAGTAGAGACAGGGTTTCACCATGTTGGCCAGGCTGGTCTCAATCTCTTGACCTCGTGATCCACCCACCTCGGCCTCCCAAAGTGCTGGGGTTACAGGCGTGAGCTACCGCACCCAGCCTAGTGATTATTATTAATGTTAGCCTATTTAACTCATTTAAGAGAAAACGTCTTGGCTGCTTTAGTTTTACAGACAATTTAAGGAAGGGGTCTGAGAAGAAAACATAGAAACCCCCTTTCCATCTGGGAGCTGGGGTTGAGGGCCCTGGAAGCAGCCCCCTCATCGCTTCAGAGGTGGCTGATCTGGAATTTGTTCTGCACCTCTGTTATGTGGCTGCCTCCTGGAATTCTTTAAACTCTTCAGGATTCCAGGGGCCTGGCAACAGTTATGCCAGGACATATTCTGGGCCAATGAGTGAGTGATCGAGCCCTGCTTGTGAGATTTTCTTGGCTGTTTCAGCTTCTGTTTACATCCACAACCTGGATTGGGAAACTCAGGTTCAGCCCAAGTCTTGGAATGTTTCTGTGTCTTCAGAATAGCGCAGACAGGTTGATATTCCCCACCACATGGGGGTTGCCTTGTGATGCTGGAGCTGTCCCATAGAGCAGGTTGGCACCTTTTGGCAGGAGAGAGCATAGTTCTTTCTCCAAAGATGAAGTCCTTCATGATGCGAGGGTCAGTCAGCCCTGCCAACCCGTGGGGAGCTGTCTCCACTGCAGCCAATGGCGCCAGGCACATGGGAAGGAAGAGCTGGTCTGGAATTGGAAAGCTCCATCATCCACACCAGGGAAGGGAAGGGAGGAGGAAAGACTGTGTATACAGGCAGGGCCTTCTCTTCTCACCAGCCCTGTGTTGATGAAGCTCCCTCTTTTTTCTAAGAGCATGTAGGGTCATCAGCATGGCTCCTACCATCCTACAGAAGACCTTGCCTGTTGGGAGTTCCTGAAGCGCTGAGATCTGAGGGGAAGGTCACCTGTCAGTCCTGCTGTGAGTGAGTAGAAGCCACAGAGCACAGGCCAGTGAAGGCAGGGCTGTGCTTTGTGTGATCAGTGTCATCAACATGGAGCCGGGCGAGGTGCGTAGTAGATTCCACAGGATAGAGAAAGACGCAGGGGATGTGGTCTCCCATCAGGGAGTGGCAATCTGTAGGGCTAAGTGGGTTGTGGGCATCAGGGATCAGTTGGCATTACAAAGAGGGCAAACCAAACCTCGTCCCCAGCCTCTTTGGGCAAAAAGAAGCACAAGAAAACCATCAATCCATTGTATAATCAGAACCACTGTAGAAAGTTCTACTTGAAAGATTACTAAAAGGAATACTTCAGCATAGGAGAAAGTTTATCTTCTCACTTGAAAATTTGTATGCTCCAAAATGATAGACAGGTACTACATATCTATTGGCTATATTTAAGTTATAGAACAATAATAATTTTAAAAGAATTTTATCATAAAATAATGTGTGCATATCAGGGAAAATTTAGAACATACAAAAAACACAAAGGAAACATTGAAATCACCCATAACTCTCTACCCAAGACCATCACTGTTAAGATTTTGATGCTTGTCTTTTATTTTATGTACATAATTATAAAATATAATTAGGCTCAAATTATGTGGAGATGTAACATATTTTTCACACTATGTTATACAATTTTTTCATGTCATTAGAAAATGTAAAACATTATTTTAAATGACTGCATCTTGTTTCATTCTATGGATATTTGAACTTATTTGGCAATTCCTCTACTGTTGGACATTTATGTAGCTGTAAATATGTTACTATTATAAATAATGCTTTGATGACTATCCTTGTACAGAAATCTTTGTGCACTTCATTCATTCAAGAAACATTTATAAGCATTTACCAAGCATCCCTCACAGTCTTAGGTACTGGTGATCCATTATGGAATAGGACAAAATCCACACTTTCATGGAATTTACATTATAGTAGGGGAGACAAGCCATAAATAAGTGAACAAGTAATGGGATATCAGAATATAAGTGCTTAAACAAATTAAGCAGGGTAATGGGTAAAGAGTGACCATGGAATAGAGGTTATTTTAGGTGCAGTCTTTGGAGAAGGCCTTTAAGGAACTGATGTTTGTGTACAGACTTGCATGATCAGAAGGGGCCATTCACGGCATTTCAGACAAGGGAAACTGGAAGGATAGAGGCCCTAATGAGGAAAGTAGCATGACAGATTGACAAAACCTCAAAAAGACCAGTGTGCTGCAGTCAAAGGAGCAAGAGAGAGGTATCAAGACATGAAGGTCAAGAGGTAGGCACTGGAGACCTTGGTGAGTGCTCTGCATGGTACGTGCAATGGGAAGCCATTGGAGGTGGGGTCAGAACATGATAGACTTGATTTACATTTAGAATGTATTTTAGATACTGAATCTAAAATCAATTGTGGGGAACAAGGCTGGAAGTAGATCCCACCTCAATCTGATACCAAAACCATGCAAAGATATCACAAGAAGAGAAAACTACAGACCAATGTTTCTTATGAATATAAATGTAAAATCCTTCAACAAAATGCTAGCAAACCAAATCAAGCAACATATAAAAAGGATGATACACCATGACCAAGTGTGATGCATCTCAGGTATGCAAGGTGGGTTTAACACTCAAAAATCAATTAAGTGTTCTGGAGTCCTGGACATGTTCACTCTGCTTTGCCAAAGTGAATCCCAAGATGCATTGTCCCTGAATGGAAAGATAGAGAAGAACATATGCTTTATAAAGATTTTAGTTTAGTGGTTCATAACCCACTGGGGTCTCATGGTAGTTAGAATGATGAATCACCTTTAAGTCCTAACTTCCTAGAAAATTCATACGGATGGATGCAAATGGAAGAATGAATCCAGGTCAAATTTTAGGCACCTTATTCTGCAAGCTGTGTACTTCCCAAAAAATATGAGGGCTAAGTTGTCTGCACTCTCTGTATCTAAGATGCTCCCAAAAGAATTGCAAGCTACTACTTTACAGAGATGTAGCTTAAACATTTAACTGATGCTTGGCAGGACAAACTATCATCAGCTCTCAAAGGAGAGCCTGTAGTTTTAATAAGTTTAGCAGCTTGTGATTTGTTGTTATCTCAAGGAAAAGGAAGGGACAGAACAACCTTTAGGAGGAGATGTGCTAAGATAAGAATATAGAGCTCTGTGCGGAAGATATGACAGGAGGAGGGATGGTCCAATGGGAAAGACTGTCTTTACTCCTTTAGTCTAAGATGGCTCTCCAGAAATCCTGCATCACAGATTCAGATCTATTGCCCATCAAAGACCTATTGCCCATTGGGCAATAGGGACAAGATGTGTCAGGAAAACCCCACCCAACTGTGGGTGGTGTATGAGTTGGGTAAAAGTAGGTAGGGCATAAAGTGAAAGATTATGTTGTGGTCTTTCTAGAGTCCATCTGTGTGCGTGCTTGGATAGGAATAAGTTTCTTTTAAAACACACACACACACAGACACACAACAATGACAATGAAGCAAAGCCAAACAAAAACCTCTGCCCCTCCCCACCTCCATCTCTTAAGGAGGCAGTGCTAGGCACCTATCCTGCTTTCGATGAGAAGACTTCTGCTATTTGTCTTGAATAATAAGTCAAAATTGTGAAATAGTCTCTGACATTTGGTCTCAGTATTTGATTTCGAGGCCAGTGAGCTGAAAATCATGGGTTTAAAATTAGCTATTAGTAATAGAATCAGTGCTTCCATTAGCTCACTTTGCTAGTTGAGGTTTCCATTCTGTCAAAGGATTCCAGAATTCTCCAAGGCTTTTTGAGTTGAGTCCATGTTGCACGATTTCCCTTGTCCACAAGGCAGTGAAGTCATCTCTGACCAGCCTTGCACTATTTTCTTGTCTGTTCTGGCAAAGCAAGGACTATACATCCGCAATTCAATGTGAAGGTCCTGTAAAGAAGGATATTGTCGGAAACGTTCTGCAGGGTTTCCAGGTACCTACAGATTTCTTCCTGCAGAAGCCTTGACAAGGCCTTGTCACCTTGACTCCTGCTTGTCCCACACTTACTCCAGGATTGAAAAGTTTGTTTACTTCTAGTATTTTCTTTTCAGAGTAGGAGCTTGGTCAAAATACCTTGCAATTTTCTAGTAGTATTTGTATTTATTACAAACTTTTTTTTTTTTTTGAGACGGAATCTCACCTCTGTCACCAGGCTGGAGTGCAGTGGCACAATCTTGGCTCACTGCAACCTCCGCCTCCTAGGTTCACACCATTCTCTGCCTCAGCCTCCCAAGTAGCTGGGACTGCAGGCACCTGCCACCATGCCCAGCTAATTTTTTGTATTTTTAGCAGAGACGGGGTTTCACCATGTTAGCCATGATGGTCTCAATCTCCTGACCTCGTGATCCACCTGCCTCAGCCTCCCAAAGTGCTGGGATTACAGGCGTGAGCTCCAGGAATCTGAACTGTGAATGAATGTCATTTGATCAAATAAATTTTTCTGTTCTCTCTCAAGAAAAGATAAGCTACCTAAATTTGTATGGTGGGTTAGTCAGCTAAGTTCTTTTCCATAGCTCCAAGAGGCAATGTAAGTAGGGAGAAGAAGAGTGCCAAGGAGAAATTGCTGTTGCCAAAGAGAAGGGAGGAAGAAGAGGATGGAGGAAAGAGGCAAACAAACAAAACCTCAAACAAAACCCAGCTTTGCTAGCACACAGATGGATAATGGGAAGACAGAGATGCAGAGAGCTGGATGTCTCTGGCAATAAGTACACTGGAAAAGCTCATTCAGGCGACATCATCCAAGATCTCTGCTCTGGGTAAAAAGAGAACATCAGCTTGAAAAGCTTAAAATTCTACTGGCAGACACTGTCTGACATGGAAATATCTCTAACCTCAAGATGATTTGCAATTAGCATTCTTTCTAGTGGCACAGTAACTGCCTCACATGATTGCTAAGGAGATTAAATAAGGTAGAGCTTGAGAAAGACCCCATTAAACTGCAATGGGCTATTCAATTTTAGGTATTGTTATTTTCAGAGTCACCAAATAAAATTCGACTTGCATAAAAATATTTACTGCGGTCCTATTAATATGCTGGGGACATTAAATTTGTGATTTAAGTTAATTCTTACAACGACCCTGCAAGGCAGGTATCGGTCCCATAGATTTTTTAAAAAGTGAAGATAACTTATAGCATGTCTATACAAAATGTACTTCAAAGTGTGGGTGAGATTTCCTGGGCATACCAAATGTCTCTCAATGTAATTTCTGAAAACACAAGAAGAACGATAACGTAGGGTTTGGATTTAACTGGACTGTGTCACTAAGCCTGGAGTTGAGTGTTAAACACAAATGCAGCTGGATCTTTTTGGCAATCGGGGAGTGGTGGGTCAGGGTTCATTCCTCCTCCAAGAGGAAAATATAGAAAGATAAGAGTGTGCTGTGAAAAAGAGAGAAAGGGCACCTTTCTCAGGTTATCTGGGCTGCTAGCTACCACCTGACTAGTTGTCATTAGTGAGTGGAAATTGGCCAGATCCTCCCATGGTTTTTGTCAATCACTGGTCAGGAAGAACGGGAAGAGAGGCTCTCAGCGCAGGGCACAGGGGTGTGAGAGAAGATGCGGTGTGGACGAAAAGTACTGGATGGTCCCAGACTCTTCAGAGGAGCTAAAGAGGTGCCCTTCTAGCACCATGAGCCCAGAATATCCTGGGCTGAACAGAAGATACAGAGAGAGGGAGAGAGAGAAAGCAAAGCTGGAAGTACTGTAAAATACAATCACAGGAATAAGGAAGAGAAAATGGAGTTTCTGGGCTTATTGCTGGCCACCCTTTTCTCAAATAGAGAACTGACTTTCAGCACGGCACTGTGACTCCCGGTGCTGAAGACTTGGGCCAAATCCAAGCAGTTTCATTTGTTGGCTGTGTGTTGTGGACCAGGAGTGGTTTGAGGCTCTGAGAAGGTGCAGTGGGCGGAACCCAGCGCCTATCCTCACGTGGTCCCTGGAGGCAGGGGTAAGACGGGTAAGTGGAGGTCGTGAAACTGAAGGACTGTGGTCCAACGAGGAAGATGAAGACTTTGAGGGCCTGTAGCAGCCCAGACTAAGCCCAACATATCGCAGCCTCGAGGCTGGAGAGGGAGCTGGGCAGTTGATCCCCTGGGACCCTGTCCAGCTCTTCCTTTTATTTTGTTTTATTTTTTAACTTGTATTTTAGGTTCAGGGGTACTTGTGCAGTTTTGCTATACAAGTAAATTGACTATTGGGGGGTGGGGGGCAGGGGCTGATGTACAAAGTATTCTATCACCTGGGTAATAAGCATAGAACCCAATAGGTAGTTTTTCGATCCTTGCCCTCCTCCCACCCTCCACCCACAAGTATGTCCTGACCCCTGTTGTTCCTTCTTTGTGTCCATGTGTACTCTATGTTTAGCTTCCACTTACAAGTGAGAACCTGCAGTATTTGGTTTTCTGTGCCTGTGTTCGTTTGCTTAGGATAATGACAGCTCTTCATTCTAAAAGCAAGGAAGGTCCAAAGAAGACAGACAAATGGCCAACAAACATTTGCCAAGATGCTCAACATCATTAATCATTAGGGCAAATGCAAAACAAAGCTGCATGGAGATGACACCTCACACCCATCAGGACGGTTACTATCAGAAAACAGAAAACAACCAGTGAGAGTGAAGATGCTCAAACCTTTGTACATTGTTGGTGGGAATGTGAAATGGTATAGCCACTATGGGAAACAGTGTGGCAATTCCTGAAAAAATAAAAATTTGAATTACCATACAATTTAGCAATTCTATTTCTGGGTATATATATTCAAAAGCATTGAAAGCAGGGTCTTGAAGAGATGTTTGTACACCTGTATTCGTGGCAGCATTCTCTACAATAGCCAAAAGGTGGAAGCAACTCAATTATCCCTCAACGGGTGAATGAATAAACAAAATGTGGTCTATAAACAAAAAGGAATATTATTCAGCCTTGAAAAAGGAAGGACATCTTGTCATATACTACAGCATGGATGAACCTTGCGGGCATTATGCTAAGTGAAATGAGCCAGTCACAAAAGGACAAATACCGTATGACTCCACTTCTACCGGGTGCCTGGAGTAATCACATTCCTAGGGACAGAAAATGGAAAGGTGATGGCCAGGGAATGGAGGGAGAAGGAAGTAGGGAGTTAGTATTCAATAGGCACAAAGTTTCAGTTTTGCTAAATCAAAAGAATTCTGTGGCTGGATGATGGTGATGCCTGCACAAGAAGAGAGTATTTAATAGCACTGAACTGTACACTTAAGAGGGTTAAATGATGAATTTTATGTTAGGCTTATCTTGCCACAATAAGAAAAGAATCGAGGGACAAAGGCAGATACTAGAAATTCAGGAAGTTGGAGATGCAGGAGAAAGGTGTCTCTGCTCCCAAGTGACATGGCTTCTCTCCCCTTCTCCAGGGGAAGCTCCTCCTCCACTGTGGGTTTCTCACCCTCCTGAAGTCAGGGGACTACTCTCAGGGGACTCTTGTCAAGGTTCACGTTAACCTATTTTTCACATGGAAAAATATGTTCTCCAAAGAGAAGTGGGACACATGAAATGATTGAGAGGCCCTGGCACTCTGAGCCCGAATACATAACAAAGCCAGTTCTATGCTGATCCCTCCTCTAACCCCTGCTGGGAGCCTGCAGCCTGGGGTTAGGAACGGTGTCCTCATGGATCAGGACAAATCCCCAGATGACCTTTGCCTTAACCTCCTCCACCCCAGCTCTTTGGGGTTGCTGGAGATCTGGGGCTTTCATTACTTAGAGGGAGAAATGAATCCTGCCATTGTATTCTGGTAATAACCTGTCAGACTCGTGAAAAGCCCTTGCTAGAGGACTTGGGAAACACTGCAATGTTATTATGTGTGAAGAAAGACCACTTCGTTTCTCCTGTGCTGGAGACAGACGTGTTTGTTAACCTTTAGAGGCCCTTAGCACAGAAATACAAGCATGGCACCCTCCTCCCCATCCTCCAAAAGAAATTAAATCATAAAATAGAGGGAAAAAAAAAAAAAACCAGAACAAGTATAAGGAAATCCACCAATGGTCTTATTTCTTCCCACAATGACTTCTTAGATAAGCTTTTAAAAATATGTTTAAATTAATAGACTATTGTTGGAGCAGTTTTAGGTTTATAGAAACATTTAGCAAAAAGTACAGAGTTCCTGTCTCTCCCTCAGCACCATTCCCCACAGCTTCCTCTACTGCTAACGTCTTGTATTGGTGCTACATTTGTTACTACTGATGAGACAGTGGTAACACATTATTATTAACTAAAGTCCACAGATCACATTGGGCTTCACACTGTGCGTGGACATTCTGTGGGTTTCGATCAATGCATAAAGAGAGACATCCACCATCATAGTATCCTACAGAGTGGTTTCACTGCCCTAAAAATCGTCTGTGCTCCACCTATTAATCTCTCGCTTTCTACCCCCCAGCCAAACCCCTGGTAACCACTGATCCTTTTGCTATCTCCATAGTTTTGCCTTTCCAGAGTGGCCCAGAGTTGGAACCATGCAGTCCGTGGCCTTTTCAGGCTGACTTCTTTCACGTAGTAACAAGCGTTTAAGCTTCTGCCATGGCTTTTCACGGATTGATGGCTCATTTCTCTTTATCACTGGATAATAGTCCATTGCATGGATGTACCAGTTTGTCGATCTGCTCACCTACTGAAGGACATCCCGGTTGCTTCCAAGTTTCATCCATTATGAGTAAAGCTGCTGTAAACATCTGTGTGCAGATGTTTGTGTGGACACAAGTTTTCAGCTCATTTGGGTAAACACCAAGGAGCATGACTGCTGGATCATGTGGTAAGACTATGTTTACTTTTGTAAGCAAGAGCCAGGTGTCTTCCAAGGTGGCTGTTCCATTTTGCATTCCACCAGCAATGAACAAGTGCCTGCTGCTCCACATCCTCACCCTATCAAATATTTCATTTTGTTTTTTGAGATGGTGTCTCACTCTGTCACCCAGGCGGGAGTGCAATGGCACGATCTTGGCTCACTGCAACTTCCCCCTCCCAGGTTCAAGCTATTCTCCTGCCTCAGCCTCCTGAGTAGCTGGAATTACAGGCACGTGCCACCTCGCCTGGCTAATTTTTGTATTTTTAGTAGAGATGGGGTTTCACCATATTAGCCAGGCTGGTCTTGAACTCCTGACTGCAGGTAATCCACCCACCTTGGCCTCCCCAAACGTAAACCTGGGATTACAGGTGTGAGCCACTGCGCCCTGCCAGTATCACATATTTATATCAAAAACATTTTCATTTGTCACAGAGTGAGCTAAGTCGGGCATGACCCTGTGCTTTGAGTAATTCGGCACTGAAGGGGGACACGTGTTGTCCTCTGGAAAACTACTGCTCCATTCTGAGTCATGTTCTGCTTCTCCTGGTTCTCCTGGCTTTAAACACAGGTTGATTCCTTTAGTGACTTGGAGACGTTGGCATCTGCCTTGTCATCTGTAGAAATAAAATAGTATTAGTTTCTAAAGTAATTAGGAGTATTAGTATTAGTATTAGTAATTAGTCCCTAATTACTTTAAAAACTAGTTTACTTTTAATAAACTAAAGTATTATTAGTTTCTAAAGTCACGCTGTGACCCAGTGTGATTACAATAACCCATTTCCAGCTGTCCCCAGCTATCCAAAGCCTAGTGGCCAAGGATGATATTAGCATGACGAGTGTGTGCTCCTGTGCACTGGTGTCCTCCACTGTGCACATTGAACTGACGTTTCCTCTGATGAGTTCTCTATAGTGGAGTTTTGAAAAGTGCTGTGAGGTGCATTAGTGGACTTTGCAGGGAGGAGCACTGGGCTCTCAACAAGGTCTGGCTTTTAAATGACAAAGATAATGCTCTCAGACAAGGTACTTAGGAAGCTCAGAGGGAATGAGGGTTGAGATTCCTTGAGAACATGACAGATTTATCATTATTCATAAAGCAATCCAGCTGGTCAATGGTAAATGTGAGGACTTTTCCATCCTCACAGTGAAATTATGGACCTGAGTTGCTTTGCTGGTGGCACTTCCTACCCCCTTACCTCCCAAATGCAGTCACTGGAGTCCCAGGACCATGCCTTCCTCCCTGTCTCTCCACAGAGAGGATCTGAGATGTAGTCTCAACATATGGTGGCTGAATAGTGACTCACGAGGGCAAGGAATTCAGACATGTATTTTCTGCATTTCCCCCCTGAGCTTCTCTATGCTGGTTCACCTTTCTAATTGGCAAACATTTTCTGCATTAAGAGGAAAAAAAAAAAAAAGCTCACCAAGTAAAACACTGAATGCTCAAATATATATTTGGGTTGGTTGTTTAACAGAAGATGTATATGCCAACATCTAGTCTCGTAAAACCTAAAGGTTAAGATCTTTGAACTAAGATTTTTTTTCTTTTGCAGTAGTTTTCAAAGTAGTAAATATAGCTGTTGCCTTAGTCTGTCGCTATAAAGGAATACACAGGGAGGGTGATTTATTTTTTTAAAAAAAAGATGTTTCTTTGAGTTACAGTTCAGCAGGATGTACAAGAAGCATGGCATCAGCGTCTGCTTCTGCTGAGGGCTTCAGGAAGCTTCCACTCATGATGGAAGGTGAAGGAGGAGCAGGTGTCACGGGGGAGAGAAGAAGGAAGAGAGAGGGGAGGGAAGTGCCAGGTTTTATCCTACAACCAACCCTTGCAAAAATGAATAGAGCAAGAACTCACTCTTTCCTATGGGAAGGACGCCAAGCCATTCACGAGGGATTCACCATCATCAACACAACCCCTCCCATCAGGCCCCACCTCCAACACTGGGGATCACATTTTTCAACATGAGATTTGGAGGGGATAAATATTCAAACCGTATCACCTGTTATAATTAAAGTGACTTCAGCTTGTTAATATTTGATCCATAGTCAGTTTTTAAGATGGTGTTAAATAATTTACATAGTAACTGCCAAGGAGCACAGAAACACAATCAAAATGTGCATCTTTAACATTAACGTATAACATAAGTTGTAGGATCAGCTTCATTATCAAGGGTCAGTCACTCATCCTGAAATAGCACACTGGGGAGGAGGATCTCCGTGTCCTGAATAATGTCCTTGGAGTGAAACTTGTGGCTTTGGAGCACTGGGACCAGTCCTCTTGATGTGTTTATTGCCAGCACCTGTGGCCAAATTCAGATTTGCAAAGGAAGAGACATAGCTGAGATTCCCAGCTGTGGTCATCAACCCTCCACAAAAGATGGGGTTGCAGAATTACAGAATGATGAAGCTGTTCACGGAATCTAGAAGCCGCAGGGTCAACCTTCTCCCCTCTGGCAAAACTGCACTTAAATGAGACTAGGAGGAAAGTTGTCTGTTCATTCTTAAGGAGCCTTCAGGGAATAAAATTCCTCAAACTCCCTTGGTAACCAGTCACTCTTAAAATTCTTCTCTGTCATGAGTTTCTTTGGATCTCACGTGTCAAAATAACGATTCATGGGATCACGGGATCCTCTCATAGAAATGCTAAAAGGAACCTTAAGGGTCAGCTAGTCTTGCCTCAAACTTGACAGATCAGAGACTCAGGTCCAAAGAGGTTGAAAAATGTGCTGAAATCACACAACTAATGGGGGGTGGAGCAGAAGGTCTCCCAGGTGCTTTCTTTTTTTTTTTTTCCTTAAAATTTAATGGAGTTTAATTGAGAAAAAAAGAAAAGAAATGATTTGCAAATCGCGCAACCTCCAGAATCACAGGAGATTCGGAGTGACTTCAGAGGTGCCTCATGGTCAAAACAAATTTATAGACACAAAAAGGGATGTGACATACAGAAACTGGAAGTGAGGTACAGAAACAATGGCATTGATTATAGCTCAGCATTTGCCTTATTTGAACACAGTCTGAATACTCAGCAGCCTATGAGTAGTTTGATGTATGGCCGCTGGGATTGGCCAACACTCAGCTATTGTTACAAGTGCATACTACTAAGTTAGGTTTTCAATCGTGTCGGCAGGGACACAACAAAAAAAGAGAACTTCAGGCCAGTATCCCTGATGAACATCGATGTGAAAATCCCCAGTAAAATACTGGCGAACCGAATCCAGCAGCACATCAAAAACCTTATCCACAATAATCAAGTCTGCTTCATCCCTGGGATGCAATGCGGGTTCAACATACACAGATCAATAAATGTAATCCATCACATAAACAGAACCAATGACCAAAACCATGTGATTATCTCAGCAGATGCAGAGAAGGCCTTCAATAAAATTCAACACCCCTTCGTGCTAAAAACTCTCAATAAACTAGGTATTGATGGAGCGTATCTCAAAATAATAAGAGCTACTTATGACAAACCCACAGCCAATATCATACTGAAGGGGCAACGGTTTGAAGCGTTCCCTTCGAAAACCAGCACAATACAAAGATGACCTCTCTCACCACTCCCATTCAACATAGTGTTGGAAGTTCTGGCCAGGGCAATTAGGCAAGAGAAAGAAATAAAGGTATTCAAATAGGAAGAGAGGAAGTCAAATTGTCTCTTTCTACAGATGACATGATTGTATATTTAGAAAATCCCATCATCTCAGCCCAAAGTCTCCTTAAGCTGAGAAGCAAATTCCGCAAAGTCTCAGGATACAAAATCAATGTGTGAAAATCACAAGCATTCCTATACATCAATAACAGACAAACAGAGAGCCATCATGAATGAACTCCCATTCGCAATTGCTACAAAGAGAATAAAATATCTAGGAATACAACTTACAAGGGATGTGAAGGACCTCTTCAAGGAGAACTACAAACCACTGCTCAAGGAAATAAAAGAGGACACCAACAAATGGAAACACATTCCATACTCATGGACAGGAAGAATCAATGTCATAGAAATGGCTGTACTGCCCAAAGTACACTGTAGATTCAATGCTATCGCCATCAAGCTACAATTGACTTTCTTCACATAATTAGCAAAAGCTACTTTAAATTTCATATGGAACCAAAAAAGACCCGTAGAGCCAAGACAATCCTAATCAAAAAGAACAAAGCTGGGGGCTTCAAGCTACCTGACTTCAAACTATACTACAAGGCTACAGTAACCAAAACAGCATGGTACTGGTACCAAAACAGATATAGAGACCAATGGAACGGAACAGAGGCCTCAGAAATAATGCCACACATCTACAACCATCTGATCTTTGACAAACCTGACAAAAACAAGCAATGGGGAAAGGATTCCCTATTTAATAAGTGGTGTTGGGAAAGCGGGCTAGCCATATGCAGAAAACCAGGTGCTACTTTCTACTCATTCTTCTCCATCCCCTTTGGAGCTCCCTGATCTGCTCCTCCATGTGTTTATTTTAAGCAAATACCAGACAAAGAAATGGGGTATCAGAAGCCCGGTTCTCCCCTGCCCTATGTGGGGCCTTGAAAATACTCTGACTTGGCCATGTGCTCTGGTTCTCCTGGGCACAGAACCAGGTTCATTCCCTCCTGCTATACATCAAAGTGGATTTCATACA